TGGTTTGCAGGCCGGCCACACCCCCATGGGTTGAGGGTCCCCACTGGGGATGTGTGGCTGGCCTGAGTGAGGGGCTGAGGACTGTTTGCAAGCTGACCACACTCGCTTCAGGGTGGGGGTTCCTGCTGAGGGGCCTGGCCTGTCTTGGTGAGAGGCTGACGGATGTTTTCAGGCTGGCCATGCCCCCCAGTAGAGAACCTAACACCATGGAGGCATGGCCAACCTGGGTGAGGGCTGTTTTCAGCCTGGCCACATCCCCTTTAGGGCGGGGGGGTCTGGCTGGGTGCCTGGCCAGCCTGGGTGAGGGGCTGATGGTTGCAGGCTGGCCAAGGCTTCTACTGGGGACCCTTACCCCATGGGGGTGTGGCCAGCCTGGGTAAGGGAATGAGGGATGTTTTCAAGCTGGCCACGGCCTCAGTAATCCAGGCTTTTAGCACCTCCCTGAGCAGAGACCAGGGTGGGCTGGAAGCCTGGGTCACTCCCATTGACCCAGGCTCCAAGCCACTCCTTCAGTGGCAGCTAGGGTGGATGGGAAGCTTGGCTTCCTCTATTGTGGAGAACAGCCTAAGCCTCCTGCTCCCTCCAGCTCCATGGCCTCGGCCATCTTTGTTGGGGTAATTCACATACTCGTTCCTGATTGGCTAGTGGGTGTGGTGAAGTGATGGTCAATTTGCATGTTTCTCTTTTATTAGTGTAGATATATACCACAAATTTAATGTGATGTTAAAATATTTATTATTTCTATTAGTGACAAAGTTAGAGATATTGTTAATACTACTTTGGTACATTCCCACATTGTTACTCAAATGAAATGTCAAGTATCAGTCACAAGTTAAAGAAAATAAGATGCAAAATTGTTCAAATCCAAGTTCAGGAGCCCTTGAATTTTCCCAATGAGTTCCCAAAAGGGGCTGTGAACCCCTGGTTATCAATCCCTGCTTTAAAAATATCTTTGCAAGTTATTCTGCAACATTATTACACTGCCATCTATGTTAACCATATTTTTTTCCTGCATATGCTTTATGAATATGACCACAAACTACCTATCAACATGAATTTCCACAGCATTTAAGAATCATTTGTAAGCACTAATGTTCCAAAATAGAGCATATTTTTATTTTTCCCTTAAGACTTTAATTAACTTTGTGAAATTCTTAGTTTCATTTCTTTGCCAATGTTCTATATGTAAGTATGCCTACAAATATTTCATTTTTACCACTGATATCCTAAAAACACTAACTGGTCTTAGATTTGTCTCTCTATAGATCACATTAAACAACACTGAAGCAGATTTTCAAAAATGAAATGACCCTAGGAATCATCTAAATTTAGGGCACATTATTTGGAATTAACTCATAGCTGCATATATTAAAAGTTCCTCAATAATTTCAGGAATGATTACTTTTAAGTGTTTCTATGTGCTGTAAGTAGTTTAGGACATTTCAACTTCTTCCACATTGTAAACTCAGTTTCTAATTTAGACTTAGATATTTTTAAATATAAGAGATATTAGTATTTTTATTTATTAATAACCTTAAAACTTGAGCTTGATTTTGCTAATTTTTATTTTATTTTAATAAGACATTTATCCTGCCAGACAACTAATGGACTTTAGTTACTTGACAGAAAAAGTCTATTGACCCACACTAGGAGAGAGAATGCTAGTGTTAATTCCAGTCCCTGGAAAGAAATGTGTTCTTAATTATTTTTTGTTGTTTTGTTGTTATGAGGAGACAACCATGCCACATGAACAACAAACTATGTTTATGCATGGATGGAGTTGAGCGCTGTAATCAACTAGAGCTTACAACAAAGTTAATCTGATGATACATATTTAATGCTATGCATTATCAATGTGCTACATGGTAATTAGACATAAATAGCAAACAGCTCCTATGAATGGCAAATTGATGTTACTTTTGCATCACTGAAGCGAATGTTTCTGGGATAGAATGGAGAAAGAGGCACTGCTGATTCACATCTTCTTCCCCCGCCCCCCCCCCCCCCCCAAAGGTGCAAGCACTCCTTTGGGTGCTGGAAAATGAAATAATTTTTTCAGTCCAGGAACTTCCTGCTTACCAGAAGATACTGAGACATTTAATTGGTCTGGATAAACACAACATTAACTTCCATAGCCCAGGTGAGTCATTCACCAGTTGTGCCTTTATGTATCTAAGCAGCACAATTCCAATCATGCATACTAGTAAATTGTATATTAAATTGTTTTCTACTACAATGGTAACTAAGGAAATGATTTTTGTTTGAGAAGGGGAAGAAATGAGAGAAAATTATAGAGTATCTGGCATTGAGAAGGAAAGAAGTCTGGTGGGGGGGGGGGGAATAAAGGCCTCAACAAAAAGCAGGCACAAAATTGGAGGGGCAAAGGATGCACGGGGTAAAACATACAGATATGTGAAAAACAGTAAGAGGTAGAAGCTTAGAAAAGTGAAGGGAGATCTAGAAAAGGGGAAGAGATAAGACAGGGTCAGAGGAAGCCACATGCAGCAAACAGGAAATGCATGGAAGCACAGGGTGTTACATGCACAAAAGGAGCCTGGCAGTATTTGTACATTCTGATTCTCCTTCCCAGAGTACAATATAAAATTTAGCATAATAATGTGATTTCATAAGTACTTGTTTTGTCATGACGGATAAGATTAAGCCCACAAATTCAACAATTTAGACATAATTTACTGCCATTTCTAAATTGTAAGCAATTCATTCCTCCCAACTGGACAGGATTACCCAATTTAAAAAGAGAAACAACTTTATATGATTTATGCTACAAAAATTCCAGGTAATAGATTTTTATAGACAGATGTTAAAAACTTGTTGCATAGTAGAGGGGCACTTATAACAACAATCTTTCTCTCCTCACATTCTCTAAACAGGTGAAAACATGGCTTAAAAAATAATTTTTTAATGTTGCCAGGAAATAAATACCACCGTAGCATTCCACACATTTACATTATATATGTACCAAAGCATATGAAGGTAAAACTACCCAGTTTTAATGGGTAGAATAAATGACTACATTGATTAATTCTTCAAAATATGGTTCTATTTTCTATACTTGGGTTATACAGAAAAAAAAAACAAAACTAGGAAGCTTCAATTATTGAGTAGGAGTCAGATATTTCTGTGATTTTTTATAATTTAAATTTAAACTGTCCAATTAAAAAAAGAGAACTAAGTCACATTTAGGCTTAATGCTGTCTTCATTCTGACTATTGCATAGAGAATCATGGGACTAAGGAGGACAGGAGAAATGTGATCAGCTATGCATTTCCACTCACAGACCTATGGACTTGCTAGTTGCACAAAGAAAAACATATTTCTAAAAACAGTTTTCTAAAAATTTTACCACAAGGGGATTTTTATTGAGAATAATATACCTAAGTGTGTCGAGATAATGAAGAGCATATATCAACTGATTAAACCTTAGTCTTATAGAAAGTGAATATATTTAAAACATATACATAAAGTAAACTGTAATGCAAGTCTCCACTATGAAATGAAGGAACTGTAAACAATAATATAAACAGAGCCCCTTTAAAACAGAGCCAGAGCGGCCATGTCAGAGAAACTGCCTTGTATATCTTATGCCTTAAATCCTCAGGATGTTAAAGCAGGGCAAAATAACCTCTGGATTGGCCTAAGAAACCTTGTGTCTTGAAAAAGACCTATTTGTAAAGATAATAAGAAAGTTATTATTAAGACTACTGGACTGATGACTACTGGATTAACAAAATAACCAAAAACAACAGCAACAACAACAAAGGCACTATTTAGAATTAATACCACTATGGTTGTTGTATTATCTGTACTAATAGAAATATCTTCCTCTACTAATGCAATTGCTCCCCTTCTCTTTCTCATAAACACTCATTGTCTTTGTCTCCAAACCAGAACATCAGCCTGAATCAGTGTTTCCAGAATAGCTATTCTTCGTGATCTCAAATAAATACCTGTTTGCCTCTTTTACTTTTAGGTTAACATAACTTCCATATAGACACAACCTGCTCAAATGACAAACACTGGTTCTCTGAGATATAGAGACAGTTTGAGGGAGATATGACAAAATTATTACAGCATAAACTATCAGTCTTCTTAAAATCAAAGCAAATGGCATGGCTCAACAACAAACAACAAAAAAACTACAATGACTGCCTTTCTATAGCAAATCTCTGCAGTGTTTCTTCCTAAAAATTAAAACAGACATGGGCAGACAAACCAAGAATTTTAATAATATGTTAGATTTCTAGAATAAAGCACTTTTTGGATTTAATCATCACAGTGGCCCAGTGATCTCAGATGAGGATGCAGAGATAAAGCAAGATAAAACTGTCTGCCCACAGGAGACAGAATAATAGACTAGAACGAGCAATGGTTTTAGAGTCATAATAGACATTGTTCTGAAGGCCAGCTCTGCTACTTTGCCCCGACCAGCTATGTGACATGGGGAAATCTCTCTAAGCCTCAGTTTCCTTATTTGGAAAATGAGGATGTTAGTACTGATTTCATAAGATTGCTGTAGGAGTCAATAAAATGAAATATATCAAATGCCTGGCACAATCCGCAGCACATGTTCAGTGCCTAACAAAGTAACTTTATCATTTACACACTAATCCTAAGAAAGTTATTTAACCTGTTGGCCTCTTCTCTTTTACATCCATAAAATGATAATAACGATATCTACTTTACATAGTCATTATCATGATGATATGAATGCAATTTTCTGTACAGTGCATAATAGGGAATGATATGTCTACATATGCATAAACTTAAACACACACACACATGTCTAATAAATGGAAGAAATGGAAACCGAACCCAGATCTTCCATGTTCAGTCCTCTGACTATCAACACAGCTAGATACTCCTGATTATACTATGTATAATCCAAGCATAGAAAAATATTTCATTACAACTCCATTATAGAAGACAGCAATATAGGAATACATGTGAAATGAATTTTAAAAGGAAAATATGCAAGTTACCTGAATTAAGGCTTCAGTCAACAAGTCTTCATTGACCTCCAAGATAATGTTTTTTATATCTTCATATGGCATACGATATGATCCTAGGAAGATAGCTAAAATAAAAATTGAGTTTATTAAAAACAGAACAGCATAAAATTTTAACATCCTAATAAATACCTGATTCCCATTTAATAGACTTAAAACATTAAAATTCCATCACTAATAATAATTTACAGAGTTATGAACAAATAAAAGTACCTCCCATTCAAAGTATTATACTACACTACTCATCCTATTATCATAGGCTCAAATGTTTACATATTTATATACAAAATAAAACTCATATTAATAGTAGTAATGACTACATGTTTATGCATTTTAGATTGAGCTGATACAAAATGACCCATGAAAAGTTAGAGATTTTATTTCTAGTGGGCCTTTTACTTCAAAGTAGAATTTAGTGTGGAGATTGTCAGATGCATCCAGCACAGTATTTCTCAGGAATGACAATAAAGTAACGAAATACAAGAAAAGCATATCAATCTATTTAGAATTTATCCCATATAGGAAAAAATTAAAGTGTCTGAACATCACTGCTCTCTGGATTCCTGTTGACATTCACATGCTATACTATTAGTTGCTCTATATGTTGAATCACGATTTCCCTTGTCAACATCTTAATTAAATATATATTTTGTCACATTGAAATAATTCAATAAGTTATACCTAGAAAATCTTATGCTTACTCAGAGAGTATTTTTCAATAATACATTATACTTCAGACTCCACTATGCATACCTTTGAAAGAATATTTGTTTGTTCTTACCACCAGAACAGGAATATATTCTTAAGAGTTCTTTTTCATATAAACGTCCCTCTGACTTCTCTGGCACTTAAAAAAACAAAATCCTCACTGTCTAGGTAATTACCTGGATGTAAACACCAAATGGGATCTCCATAATCAAAATTAATAATGTTGACAGATATCAACTAGCAATTAAGATAATACTGTGTTTAAAAAAACACACAACACTAAACAACCACTTTATGAAGAAAATGTACTCCTGGCAGGTGTGGCTCAATTGGGTTAGCACCGATCTGTGCACCAAGAGGTTGCTGGTTCAATTCCTGGTCAGGACACATGCCCAGGTTATGGGTTGGATCCCCAGTAGTTTGTGTGCAGGAGGCAGCTGATGGAAGTTTCTCCTCTTCCTCTTCCTCTTCCTCTTCTTTCTCTCTCCTCCCTCCCTCTCTCCATCCTCCCACCCCGCTCCCTTCCTCTCTCTCTTAAAAAAAAATCAATGAAAACATATTTAGGGAAAAAATGTACCATCAGATAAGCAACATACAAATACACAACAGCTATTAGGAGACTGCTTTTCTGACAGCAACATTCAGGCTGACAGGAGAATGATGAGCTGTTTATTTCAGTTGGATTCCCTATAGCATGTTCTTTAACAAAAGAAACTCCTATGGCATCTCTATGGTAATTAGAAATGCTTGATGTGTTGAAATTTCTCATGCAGAGTGTTTTAGTATCCTCAGAATATAAACACAATCACTGTGGTGACAAAGAATGCTAAATTCAATACAGAGGGGGGAATTTGTCAAAATAAAACATAAGGCCTACTTAAAGGAAGATGGCTTTAACTGTCCGGCTGCTTTAATGAAAGTATACTTAAGGGCTGACTGGTTTGTTAAAGGCTTTAATGTTTAGTAACCAGTTTCGAAGTACAGTGGTTAACAATTTATCTAGCTTCTAACATAATTACTTCAAGCGTAAAGGAGGAGCAGAAAAGGATTTGCCCAATGGGACTAGTGAATACTCTGAAACTGTCACTGCCAAGCTGAGGCAGAAGGAAAACAAAACTCTTTTCAACTCTGCCATAAGTCTCACTGGTCCTCTGACAATGCCAAATTATTAGCACTTTCTAACACTTTATTATTCATATATTTCATCAAGCCTGAGGAAGGCTAAATTATGATGTCCTCCTATCCTGGCTCACGAATTGTGTTTCTGGTAGATGCTAAATATGCCTGTTTGAAGAAGTTACAACTTTAAGTGCATTCAATAACCACCCTCTCATCACCATCCCTATACATGAAACATCACATACACAGATTCTGGGCCGTTTTGGGATCCAAAACTCTCAGCTCTTTCACTCTCTTCTTGGTAGGTTGGGGCTTTTCCTCTAAAGCTTCTGCATTCTTTTGAACTGAAAGAAAAAATGATGATAGATAAACAATAATGGCGCTAATCCAAATGCACAGGATAAGATTATTAAGGCATATTAACTACATTAATAAAGTGCATGTGAAAATTAATAAATGTGTTTATTTAATTAGTTCGAGGTAGAGGATAAACATAAAAATATAGACTTGTTTAGAGGTTTCCCAACAAATTAAATATCAGCACTTAAGCAGAAAAGATAAGCCAAATAGAACCAAAAATCAATTGCTGCTTCTTAACTAATGTACAACATTAATTACTCCCTTACCAGGTACCTACAAGCAGCACTGGAATTAAATATATAGTAAAATCTCCCTAATTTGGACTAATTGAGGAAAAAGACATGCATTTATCCTAACATGATAAAATTCAGGCATGCCTTTAATTCAGAGAAATTGCTTTAAAGTACCTAAGGTAACTTTAACTGCTAAACAGGTTTCCATATAAAATTCCTGCTGAGACTGCTCTGAAGAATAGATATGAACCATTTGCAAGTTGCACAACAGTAGCACCCTTTTGCTTAAACATAATTAACAAACATCAGAGACAGGTCTTTTGAGTAAGTTAGCTCTGTCTTCCCCTCACCATTTTTTTAGTACTGTTTGCTTTCTTGGAACAGAAGATATATTTATGCAGTATTCAAAACGTAATACTGTAGTTTAAAAAGAAAGAATTTAAAGCACCTGAAACTGTGTAGAGAGGCAGTTCCAGGGAATGGCTTTAGCTCCCTATTACATCCATTAGTGTTCTCCCAAATAAGCCATCTCAAAAACCAAAGTGAAAAACAACCTGGCTAGCTGGCTATTATGAAAATGAAGCTTTATGGCAGGCAAATCACTAAAGCCCTCCAATACATAAATTCAACAGCTATCATTGTATTCATTCATGTGTTACCAGTTTACTTCTAATCCTATATAATGAAGATGTAGTATGCAAATTGTTGTTACCCAGTGAAGCATAATGGCAAACCGCATAATGACTGAATCATGGCTCAGTAGGAGGGTGGGGCAGTGAGCTCTGAGTGGTGGACAGCTACAGGAGGGGGTAGGGCAGTAAGCTATGGAGGGGGTGAAGGAGGGCGTGGGGGGGGAAGCTACAGGAGGGCTAGGCAGCAGGTGGAGAGCTACTGGAGGGCAGAAATGAGCGACTGGTGAGCTACTGGCACACGGATTCATACAAAGGGCTACTAGTATAAAAATAAGTTTGTAGGTAATCCTCTAATTAAAGAGAAAAAATGAAATTGACCATACCTTTGCTACACCCACAGGCCATGCCCACAAGCCAATCAGGGTGAGTATGCAAATTAATCCAATCAATATGGCGGTTAATTTGCATATCCAGGCCAGAGCAAGGATTGAAGATAGCAGAAAAAAGCCAAAGGCTGCAGAAGGGAGTGAAGCTGTGGAGAAGCAAGCAAACAGGGCAGTGGAGAAGGAAGGGAAGCAGGCAGGTTGGGAAGAAGGGAGAGAAGCAGGTGGGGCAGCAGAGACTGCAGCAGGAAGTCATATTGCAGGAAACTTCCTGCAAGGGGCCTCTAGTGGGACCATAAGAAAATGAGTAAAGTCAATATATTTGTTCAATCAAGTGGAGTGATACATTCTTCATCACTGAATTATATAGTCATGAACATGCTCTCTATTTATTACTTTACATTTTGAGGTAATTATTACCTCAAAAATACCTTCAGTATTTTAAGCTGACTTTAGTATGGAGATCACAAAGGAGTTACTGATTTTCATTAGGGGAAAATCAATACAACCACAGTACTTTTTATTTAGCTATGTGTTCGAAGATGTTAGCATCTGGAAAACTTTCTAGATATATTACAGAAGGTATCAAAATACTACACGTCCATTAAGACCAACTTTGTTTACATGATGCAAATATATGAAAATTAAATAGTTTACTATAAAATAAATTATCTGAATAAAGTCCTAACAGTTCTAAACTTTACCAGTATCATCAACCTAAAATGACTCAGAGTCTAAGGAGACTAGATAGTAATTACACTTAAAAATCATAATCTTTTCAGAAATGATAGGTAATTTGCCATGTTTACTCAACCACAATAGTTACTGCTAGTACTGGAAGAAAAATTACCTTTTAAAAATATGTTCTTATTGATATTTTACAGAGAAGAAGCGAGAGGGATAGAGTTAGAAACATCAATGAGAGAGAAACATTGATCAGCTGCCTCCTGCACCCCCCTACTGGGGCTTGAGCTTGCAACCAAGATACATGCCCTCAATCAGAATTTAACCAGGGACCATTCAGTCCACAGCCTGATGTTCTATCTGCTGAGCCAAACTGGTCAGGGCAAGAAAAATTACTTTCAATGTATTTCTTTTAAAATCATCACATATGTTCCTCAAATGATCTTTCTAAGAGCACAGTGTCTTTCCTATGCAATAATCAGCAATTTGATTGATTCCATTTTGAAGCCACCCCCAAGCTTAAGACAACTATATAAGGAAATGAAAGTCCAAGAGTCATTCCCTTTGTCAATAAAAATATTATCCGAATCATACTGAAATTACTTCTAAAATAATTCATTAATTTTAACTCAGAGTAATAGCCAAGAAAACTGTCCTAATTTCTCAGTATGTTTTAAACCCCATTGCTGGAGACTGGTTACACAAGTATATATAGGATAAAAATACTGTAGCATGAAGGATCCATTAAGACTATACTGCAAACTAACAGCCTCCTAATTACCCTAGACATACATAATGCTCATTTTGTACGCCTCATTTTTGCATTTTTCATTAGAATTGACTTCAACCTCTCTCCTCTTTAAATGAACAAGTTATTTAAAATTAAGATTAGATGTCTCAAATATCTAGAGTTCACAGTTTTGTTTTTTGAATCCTACTATATTTCTCTTGTATTATGTATGCAATTTGGATTTATTGTAGATTCAAGAAATGGTAAGAATTCTATGAGTGGGCACTACTATTCTGAGAATTACTAGAGAAAAGCTAGTTTAAAATAGTCTCTTAATTAGACAGACTTTCACAAGCAATGATGGTTCGTGATCAGTAGATATTGCCTAGTGGCTATTATTGCCCTTTGCTTTTTTGTGTCTAAAAGCATCCTTAGCAATCACAACCATAGGTTTGGTAGAGAATTTGAAGAGAGACAATGATACATAAAATTTACCTAACTAGTATTAAAGGCTTCATATATTAAAATGTTCCTGCTTTCATAATGACCATAAAATTCTATTTGTTCTGATAGGTTTTTATTCTATATATGTTTCTAATGCTTAGAAAACATTAATATCCCATAACTTGGTTAAAAAATGAACAATTACATAACTTGATTAAAACTTGAATGGATATTTTTCCAAAGAAGACATACAAATGGCCATCAGATATAGAAAAATATGTCCAACAGCACTAATCATGAGGAAAATGCAAATCAAAATTACAATATCACCTCAGGTCTGTTAGGATGGCTATTATTTAAAAAATATGGGTTAGTGAGGATGCAGAGAAATTGAAACCTGTGTACATTGTTGATAGGAATATAAAATGGTGCAGTATCTCTAGAAAAAAAGGTACGATGATTCCTTAAATAATCACGGATAGCAGTACCATATGACCCAAAAATCAGTTCTGGGTACATATCCAAAAGAACTGAAATCAGGATCTCAAAGAAATATCTGCATTCACATGTTTACTGCAGCATTATTCACAATAGACAAGATATGGAAACAAACTATATGTCCGTTAAGGAATGAATGAATAAAGAAAATGAGACACACACACACACACAACGGAATATTATTTGGCCTTTATGAATAAGGAAATCCCACCCTATGAACCTAGAAGACATGTTAACTGTAAAAAGTGAATCACAGAAGGCTAAATGCTTATATAAGTAATCTCAATGCTTTACTAGTATGTAAATGCTTTAAATTACTTATAAAAGCAATCTAAAATGTAAAACTGATAGAAATAAAGAGTAGAATGATGGTTGCCAGGAGTTGGAAGGTGGGGGGAATAGAGAGCTTCTGTTCAAATGGAATAAAGTTTTAGTTATATGAGTAATTCTAGAGATCTGCAGTACAACATTGTGTCTACAATTTACTAGTACAATACTATACTGTGCACTTAAAATTTGTTAAGAAGGTATACCTCTTATTAAATGTGCACATAATAAAATATAAATTATTTTTAAAACTTAAGATAAATTATAGTGATTCTTTAATTATTTTAAATTACTTTGATGGGAGTGAAGATATTTTAAGTTTCAACACAAAAACTCAAGAACTGTTTTTGTCATCAATGGCTCTATGGTCCACAGGCCTAAAATGAGGCCTCCAGTCAAATGCAATCTCTCACTGAACATATCAAAAACCATATAGCCACTATGTTTGAATCTGATGGATTGAATTAATTTGGGCACAAAAATTGGCACTGCTAACTGACCAACAATACTGAAACATTATAAAAGTCTGTATGAAGATAATGATGTAATAATAAAGATATTTGTATTATTATTAAATACATGCTAATATCAAGATACTCATTATCTAAGGTAAAATGCCCACTGAGTATTCTTATATTTCCTTTAATTCATGGATTTTTACATGCAATTGTAGTATAAATTTATTCCTTTACCACTGAGGGATGTTCATCAGCGTAAACCAAAGTACACATGGTTATATTCTTTTCCCAATCAATTTTAGGCAATGTTAAGAAATTTCCTATTATTTTCCATTATCCCAGTGGATACATAGAACATCTGAAAAATGTGTAATTTGTAGCAAATATTAGAAAGGTATTAGAAATGGGCAACATTGAATTATTTCACAGTGATAACTAACCATAAATAACATAATAATAAAAATTTTATAACTATATTAATTTATTTCAAAATTCCAGTGAGAAAGATTGATTGCTAAAGTCAGCATACTAGTCATTCATTCATTTATTCATTTCTTTTTTTATTTTTTTTATTAAAAATTTTTTTTATTGATTT